GGGGAGATCAAGTAAAGTAGCTTCATAATCGTAATTATGCAGGAAGTAACTGAAAACTTACAATGGACCAGCACAAACATGTTGATCCAGTCATCAGGAGATCAATGTTCCGCGGTTATGTGGGCTCGGCCTTACAGACCCGAACTGGGGTTTTCGATACTGCAGCAGCTTCATCTGTTAGAGATTTAAAAAAAAAAAAAGAACATGTAAATAAGTGGCAGAGAGAGAGAGAGAGGAGTACGCAAAAGAATCTTGAATGTGATGTGGAGCACAAAGGGATCAAATAGAATATTGAAGAAATCAAATATGCAGGGGAGAAAATCAATCTGGGTATGAAGGTAATCTGGAGAGATGCTTTTAGTGCTTCATTAATAAACTGGTCAGTCAAACTTGAAGAACACATAAATTTTTGAGTTCTTTCAATATTAGCTACATGGTAAAAGAACTCAAAGCTTTAAATTTTATGTATGCATTTTCTATCAAAATATCTCTGGATCTTTAGTTGATAAAAGAAAAAAAGATAAAACAAAGAAATAAAAATGAAACTAAAATAGGTCCAAAGGTATGATATTAAGGCCAGATCAGTGCATGGAGCAGTAGGAAAAAAGTGACAATGAGAACCTGTATAAACTGCAGATAGTGATTCGTTCTCTGTATTGGGCACAGGGCTCCATTCGTTTATGAGGTCAGCATCCTTGTCAGCCCCAATAATCATTTCATGACTTGGAAACTAGATATGCTTCGTTGAACTGACTGCATTTTCCATTTTAAGTTTTCAAGGGAACCACGGTTTGCTACCAATCCCCTCGAAACTCGCAGTCCATGACCATGAACAAAGGCAGAGCTAGGATTTGAACTTTATGGGTTTCAAATTCTAGAATAGTGACGTCATGCTTTAGTAACTGGGTTCTGAATTTAATCTTTGTACATGTAAATTCCTTCACACAAATACAGGATTTGTACTAAAGCTAGTGAGTTTGGCCAAACCCGTAGCTCTCCTTCTACCTCCACCCTTGACCATGAAGAAAGGAACATTTAATTACTAGCAGCTTAATTACTAGTCATCCAGAATTTCATTTTTGGGAGTTCGGAGACTTGATACACTTCCTTGACCCCATCCTTTCTGCACCCGCTTCAAATTTTTCAAGGCTGCTGTACTTCCATCGTCTCTGTCAAAACAGGACAGATTGTCAAGAAGATTTCATGAAACAAACAGAAACAAAAAAAGAATAATCTATCCACTGACAATTTAGTCAAGGTACGGCGTAATAATGGAAAAGATATGATTTTTTAGAGAACCATATTCTCTTGTAGGTTCTCCGCTTTTTCTATACCGCTGGTATACCAGGGCTTCTCCGCAATCAATAAATTATCACTTTATGGGAAAATAGTGGAAAAGGACAAAACATGAGAGTGAAGAAACGATCCATGAGAATGAGAGTGTCTAAACTTGGCTTGATCTTACCAAGTTAAGACTGTACAGGTTGCACTAATTCATATTTGACGACCCTATTAACCAGAAGTTTGGCCCTTTTCCTTTTCCTTTTCTTCTTCCACAAGACTCCACTTTTTCCTTTAAATAAATTGACATATGACATGGTTTCTCATAGACTCGGAAGTTCCACAACCTAATAACTATGTAATTATCTCGTAGAGCCAGACTAGATATCTAGTGAAACAAATGATCCCAGGTAAAGGGGGCAACCTAGAAAACTCAACGTATTCACTTTTGGGGGGAGGAAAGAGTAAGTTTCTCAAATAATAGAGGACCACCTGAATAAAAGGAAAACAAAGATAAAGCAGATGAAAACTTAAACTCCTTACCTGTGCACAATTGCCTGCCAACCATCTCCACCATATTTGCTTCGCTTCACACGATTTAACTCCCTATAGTTTTGGTAAGCTTTGTTACCCACCTTACCTTCTGAAACCATCTCCAGCATCCTCTCCGCTAGTTCATCTGCCTCCTGCTTATTACCCAATTTACGTAAACCGTCAATGACTGGCATGAATGATGCAGGATTAAACGCATATCCTATGTCCATCATCCTGGTGAGAATATCATGAGCACCTTCTAAATTCTCCTCCTTTGACAGCTTGTCAATAAGATCTTTGTAAAGGAAGCTTCCTAGATCAAAGCGTTGATCTAATGCAGTTTCCAGTAATTGCTTAGCTTCCAAGATTTCACCTCCAGCAAGATATTCATTGAACATCAGTGCGTAGAGTGCTTCCTTGTGACCACATATGCTCAAGGCTATATCAAATACCTCCTGAGCAGGTCTGAACTCACCACTCCTGCAATATGATGTAATAAGCAACTCAAAGATATGCAGATTAGGAATTATTCCTTTCTGTAACATTTCATTTAAAAGAGAAATTGCTTCTTCAGTTCTCCCAGATTTGCATAGACAGCTAGTCATGATATTGTACGTGTAAACATTTGGAGAAATCCCTTTTTCTCTCATTTCATCCATCAGGCCACACATTTCGAATATTTGATTTTTGTTCCCCAATCCGAGTATCAAAGAATTATAAGTTCGTAAGCTCTTGTTACAACCTTTCTTCTCCATGTCCTTTAGAACCTGAAATGCAGATGATACCTTTCCTCTTTTACACAGATGATGTAAAATAGTATTATAAATAATTGAATCAGGGTACAACTTCTTTCCCATCATCTCAAGAAACTTCTTCTTAGCTTCATCAAGCTTCCCTTCTCTGAATAAACTACTAATTATGGTTGAATAGGTGATCAAGTCGGGCAGGCATTTCCTCCCATGATCATCTTCATTCACCAAGCTCATAAACGACTTTCCAAGATCACCAAGCGCAGCACTTCCGTGGCTCCACATTTGACTCACAATCTCGACAGCTTTGTCCACTTCTCCGGTTCGGCAGAGACCATGAATGACTATGTTGCAACTCACGATATCCAGGCCATAACCTCTCTCATTCATCTTCTGCAGTAACTGCTGCGCCTCTGATATTTTCCCTTCTTTCCACATGCTATGAAGCAGAGTATTACAAGTGTACGTATTTGGAATGCAGCCTCTCTTCATCATCTCATGCAGAATATTCTTTGCCTCAGTCACTTTACTTTTCATGCAGTAGCCATGGAGTAGAGTGCTATAAGTAACTGTATCTGGAAATTTACCATCACTTACCATTAAGCTCATCAGCATTTTGGCATCACCAAGCATCCCATTTTTGCAGAGGCCATCAATCACAATGTTATAAGAATATATTGTGGGAGCTACTCCATTCTCCGACATCTCTTTCAGCACTGATTGAGCCTCCAACATCTTTTTATTCTTCACCAACCCACACAACCAGATATTGTAGCTCTGCACATTGAAGAAAATACCATCTTTCTTCATAGACTCAGCCAGTGCCCTCGCATCTTCAAGCATCCCTCTCTCACAAAACCCCTGCAACATCAAATTAAAAGTTACAACATTCGGCCTTGGCAAGTCGAATACCTCATCTATTTGCATATCCCTGAAAATTCTGGAAGCCTCAAGAATCTTCCCTGAGTTACAAAGAGCTGAAATTCTAGAATTGAAGGTAACAACATCAGGAACAAGCCCATCCTCCCTCATCCTCTCGACCAACCTCTCAGCCTCATCAACATCACCTTTCTTGCAGAAACTGGCAATCAAAGTATTGTATATTATCACGTTAGGACAAACGCCCATCATTTTCATCATATCCAGAAGTTTCAAACCTTCTAAAGGAAGCCCAAATTCACAATAACCGCGAATCAAAATCCCAAAACTAAACTCATTAGGCTGACACCCTTTGTCGCGCATAACATCAAACAGGTGGCGGGCATCTCCCAAACGATTCGAATTACACAACCCTTCAATGAGAAGGTTAAAAGTATAAGTAACAGGCGAAACGCAAGCAAAAATCATATCTTTATACAACCAAGACAAGAAATTCGGACAATCAAATTTCAAAGACTTGTGCATAAGCAAATTGTAGAGTGATACATGGGGTGGTTGTTGATGAGGTAAGTGAGAGCGAGTAGATTTGAAGAGAGAAATGGCATCGTGAATATATCCGTAAGTTGCTACGAGCTTGACGAGGGTGTATTGAGAAGGAAGGGAGATTTGAGGGGATAGAGAAAGGAGGAAAGAGTGAAGAGTGTGGATTTCGGAAAGCATTTGGGAATGGAGGAGGATACGGGTTAGGGGAGGGATTGAATAGAGGGGAGGATTTGGAGTAGAGAGAGTGCGTTTGAAGAGTTGCCATGCCAGCTTGGGGTTGCTCGAGTTCTTGATTAATGCTTTGGTTAGCGTTTTGGTTTGCTGCTCCATTATCGTGTAAGAGTTCAATAGTGCTGAAATAACTTCTTCCTTCTTCCTTCCTTGGCTGCTTTCTTCCTCCTATGTCGTCTTTTCTCAAATACATTTCACTTTCTCACTTCAAACCACCTACAATTATGCCCAACTAGTTTTTAAATTTAAATATTAACTAATACGTTGAAATTCAAAGCCTCGGTGGGTAGCAAGTAAGGCTGTTTGGTGGGCCGGTCTGGGACCGGGACCGGACCGGGACCGCGGTCCTAACGGGCTAAACGGTCCCGGCAGGCCGGTCCTGGTGGGCCGGTCCCTAAATGGGTAGGAAGCCCGTGACGGGCCGGTCTTGTACACGAGGCCCACGAGACCGGGACCGCTAAGCCCGGGACCGGCAGGCGGTCCTGGTCCGGTTCAACCGGGCCTAACGGTCCTAACGGGCTCCAACGGCTATTTTTTTAAAAAAAAAAATTTTTTTAAAAAAAAATGGCCAACGGTCAGATTTTAAAATCTAGCCGTTGGCCTTTAATTTTCAACCGTTTGGAACTTTAAAAAATAGTCATTTGGCCCCCAAACTTTATTTTAACCCCAAACTTTATATAATTATACTTTTCCCCAATTCTCAACTATAAATACCCCCTCATTCTTTCATTTTTACTCACGAATTCATCAATCTATCTCAATCTCTCTCAATCTATATCTAATTTCTCTTCTATAATTGCTTATTTTATTATTGCAATTTCGTGAAAAATTGTGAAGTTGGTGAATTGAAGTATTCAAGTCTTCAAGTCTTCAACGATTTTCAATTTTCAAGAAATTGTTCGGTAAACTCGCTCCAACTCTTAACTTTTAAGAATATATTTTTGTGTGTTTAGTTTGCATAATTGTAATTAATATGGCATTTTCTTTGAAAAAAATATTTGGTGGTAAGGGAAAAGCTAAAATTGGTGAAAGTAGTCTCCAACCTACTACCCTTCCCCCGGCTCCCCAACCCAGACCTATTACCCGTCCTGCTGCTCCTATTATTCTTGATAGTGATAACCCTTGTTTTCAATTTTCCGATAGTGAATTTTGCCATAATGTTGCACAAGGTGAACATTAAATGAAGAAGTTATGAATGCTCTTTATCCTAATCAAACTATCTTAGAAAATGATGAGGAAAATGAGGATGTAGATGAAACCCAACCGGATTTAGATGATNNNCCCCCCTTTTCGTTTTTTTTTTTTTTTTAGTGGAAGAAGCCTCTTCTTCTCTGTAGATTTTCCAAATCAGCCTGGTGCACAAAGCATCCGGCATTCCCGCAGGGTGGGGAAAGGGTCGCACCCCTAGGGGTGTGATGTCGACAGTGTACATTTTACCCTAATGCAAGCATTAGTGGCTACTTCCACGGCTCGAACCCGTGACCAATAGGTCACACGGTAAATAAAGAGAAATCAATAGTTTGTGTAGATTTTCCAGATTCATTTTGTGCAAAGTGCTTATAAAACTTCGATATTAAAAAATTAGTGTTATGCAACAGAGATTATCTTTTTATAGGATTCCAGCTATAGTTTACTAATATTCTAGGTTAAGGCCATAGTATTTTCCGAGGCGTTAGTCATGCATTTGTATTGAGATGCGAGTTGTAGCCAAATGGTTACAATTTTTTTTTTTTTTGCACCTGTTGCAGATAAAAAATAAATTAGTTAAAGTGTCCCTATGCGAGAGTTTAAACTTTTAAATCAGACAGTTCACATAGTTCAATGCGGTATTAGAGAAGGCAGAGGGTCTTCAAGTCTTCCCGCCATCGATCTACAAAATATTTTCATGTGCTTGACAAGGGGAGAAATTCAGGGTTGCACGTGTGAGGGCAAGGTTTAATGACATAAGATACATTAATACATGCGTCATATTTCTAACTGCTAAAGCTTTTACACGAGACGGTTATCACTTTTCAACTTGCATGGATCAAATTTCACTAGCATCTTCGTCTCTTCTTGAATAGAGCAGAATTGGTAGCAACTCTGACTACTTTGGAATTGTGGCATATATTTGATTGATTGATGTGAAGTGCATTTGGTTGAAGGAAATACATCGAGAGGATCAAGAGGTCATTTCAGCATCATTGATTGGCTGTCTTCTTATTTTCAGGGGATACAAGGTAACATGAATCAGATGGTTCCTCCAATGCCTCAAGGTCATTTTGTGGGCATGCCTTCTGGATCTGGACCACAGGGCAATGTTCCTCCAGGTGGAATGCCAAATGGACTACCAAACATGCAAGGCCCTCAAAACCCAGGAGGTAATCAGATGTTTCCACCAGGACGAGGCTTCAACAGGCAACAAGCTGGACAAATGCCACTCATGCCTGGACATAATCCTTATCAGGTGAGTGGCATGTAAATTACTTTAACAGACCTAAGAGTGCAAAGGCTCTAAACTTTTAGCACCTTATTCATTTTTATTCTGTCAGGATCCCCTTTTTGATTTTGGATTCTTGGTTTCAGTTAGATGTATCAAACCTATAGTTAATCGTTAGCTATTTATTACCTAGGTTTCCTATTTATTGTTGAATTAAGTTGGGTAGTCGATAGCTGGATTTAAGAGATATTTACAGTCTAAGAATTATTATTAGCAATTGTTGTCTGAACTTTGCCCCACTGGTGGGATTTTACTGGGTTGTTGTGGTGGTTGTTGTTGTCTGTACTTATCTAAGCTATTCTCAGAACAAGAATTCTAGACTGCAACTTCAACTTATGCTAGGGAACTGCAGCTTAAATCTTCTTCTATAAAAAGGACTAAGTGGGCGTTTGGACATAAGAATTGTAAAATTCCAAAACAGGGCGAAAAAAATTTTCAAGTGAAAATGGTATTTGAAATTTAGAGTTGTGTTTGGACATGAATATAACTTTGAGTTGTTTTTGAAGTTTTGTGAGTAATTTGAGTGAAAATTTTGGAAAATTACTTTTTGGAGTTTTCAAATTTTCGAAAATTTCCAAAATGCATTTTCAAGTGAAATTTGAAAATTTTATGAACAAATGCTGATTTCGAAAAAAAGTGAAAATCTTTTGGAAAAAAGGGAAAAATTTCTTATGTCCAAACGGGAAGGTGGCTGCTGGGTGTGAAGACAAGTAATTCCAGTGAGAATAAGACAACTAACCCTAATGAGAGTAAGTGAGTGATGTCGTGTTTGGAGATGATTTAGTGCTGGTACTTGTAACAATACTATGATGCCCAGCATATCAAAAGTGGGAGGATTTTTGGGTGATACGAAATATTCTTTGCCGGAAAAAAAGTTAGGTATCTATACCCGTCGGCGTGGGTGGATCTAGGCGAGCGGAAGGGGGTTCGTCCGAACCCCCTTTGCCGAAAAATTATACTGTATATATGAGGTTAAATTTGTTTCCTGGCTATATAATATATGTTGCATCTCGTTGACACAAGCCAAAATATTAGCTCAGTGGTCAAGGGGATTCAAGTTTTCTATAAGGTCGCATGTTCGATTCCCACACAGTGCAGGAATTTTTCTTTATACTATTTTGCACGGGATTTTAGTTAGTGTCCGCCACATCCGTTCATTCTTCCTGTGTTAATAAAATTAGGTCAACTTAAACACACAGTAACTCCTGTAGGTTTTAACCTGGCTATTGTAAAAAAAATTAAGGTCAAACATAAATTTTATTTTATGCGTATATATTATATGTTGAATTCCCTTGACACAACCCAATAGCAACCCATATAGTTTTCTTTTTGTGTGTTTATATGTATTAGTAATAGGAAAAATTAGTTAGCGCTTTGTTATGCTTTGGTTGAAAGTTTGTATCCAAACATCCTCCACATCAAGTATACTGTTTTAATACTTTTAATTAATTAGGATTATTTATTTATAAGTTATATCTGCAATCATCTTTAGTTCATTTTTTGTTTATTATATTATGATCTTCTTTTTTGTTTTTTGCTTTATATTCCTTAAAATGCATTTTACTTTTTTCTTTTTGAAAAGGATTACTTCAAAACAACGTACTTCCGTATTAGTTTTGATCCAACATATTTTTAGTTTAATTTTTTAACAGTAGTGTAGTTTACGTTTAGTTTTTTTTTTTTTTTTGATGAAATCATTTGACGAAATATTCTGCTGACACTTCTTTAAAATCTTGAACCCCTTGCTCAGAATCCTGGATCCGCCGCTGCATGTGGGTTTGTAAGCGGCACATAATGGAGTAATAAGAATGGGTTTGACTGAATTTGCTGACGATAACATCTTCTCATAGTTATTTTGCTCTCCTTGTAGTTGTGATCGATTGCTGGGAATGTTAAATGTATTTTTTAAGTAGGTGCTGGGAATTATTCAATTTTGTGCCAAAACTGGGATAGTTATGCATAGAGGGAGAAGCTTGAGAGTTTTAAATACACATATTTAAGGAACTGTATATTTTTATAAGGGCATTTTTATACTTCTGGTGTGAGATAGTTGGGTGGATGAATAATGAATTAGCTCGTCTTTGACTTAATGGATTGTATGAGCTACTGATGTAATCATGCTTCTTGCACCATCTTTTTTGCTTTTCACTACCTCTGGTACTATTCTTATTGAAATTATTTTACCTTCTAAAATGTTTTTCCAAGGTCATTTTGTGAGCATGAATGTGGATTGCCCTACTTTTCTACGGGTTTTACTCAATTAATTTAATCTGGTAGATACAGTTTTGATTTGTTTCTTCTATTTATAGGGGGTGAACCTGGGCAGTGGAGAGGATTTGGGGTAGGCGATGTTATATTCGTAGATGGGGAGACTTAACTACCATTTGGAGTGGCTGTCTGGTTTAAGACCTTCTGACCAGATAATGTGTAAACCATTGTGGCTTTCGCATGACCATCTTTGTCATCTAAAACTGGGAGGGAGAAGGTTATTAGTGAGGTGCCTATTCAAACTGCCCAGTGCTTCGGGCTAGTAGTAGGAGTGCAGCGCGTGCTGTATGATTAGTATCACGGGCTCGGACCATGCCACGAACAAAAGCCTGATATTTAAGTGAAGAAGGGTAGAGAGGAGGGTCCACTGTGCACCAAGTTTCGGCCTTGCGCCAGCTGGCCCTTTGGGATTTCTTGATTATGAATAAATATATATTGCCTGCACAAACTATCCTGTAAAGTGAAAAGACTTCTTCCTGTAGAATGTATTTATGGGGGAAGCCAAGTGGCTAACGACACTTTAAATAATTTCGCTCTTACTGCTAGAACTGAATTCATAAGATTGTCCATACTGAAACCTGAAACTAGAGGTCTGCCCATTTTTCTCTTCAAACCAGCTGTTTCTTTGCTTGTTTTTCTCATCCTATCTCCTGATACACTGCTCAAACGCCAAGAAAGATAATGATATCGAAGGAATGTATCCTATTGTGCATGTGCAATGTTGAAACCTAAGGAGGACTAATTTGTACTTTGATGAGCTTCTATCCTGCATAATTTCTCTCTTTTTTCTTGGTACAACTTGTTAGTACTTGATCTGTGGGATAATTTATTCTGTCTCTTAGCTGCGTATGTTTTAACTGACTCTTATGTGAAGTATATGTTTCAACTTTGGAAACTTTAAAGTTTGCTTTTTGGGCTGTTGATTTGATGAATTCTCCAGTTACATGTCATTTCTTTTCTTTTTCTTTTTTCTCTTTACAGCAATCTGGAAATCCAAACACACCTGGAATGCACATGCAGTCAAACTTCGGTCTTCAATCTGGAATGCCTCCGCCATTGCCACCGGGGCCGCCTCCACATAATCAAGGACATCAATAGGCCATTGTTTATAGTCTCTTTCGAGTGTAACGAGCTTTGTTCAAGTTGTTTGTTGAAAATCTCTTCTCTGCACTAGTTTGATAGCATCGCTGTATTTTCTTAGATGTATTTTTTGATAATTTTCTGAATTTTTAATTCGGTAAAATATTTTGAACACTTTAACTTTACAAATTCTTTGTGATGCTTGGGTTAACATTTTGACACTTGCAGTGAAAGCTTTTCTGTTAGGTGTAAATGACAAACCATCAGATTGAAGGGCAGTGAATCCTTTGTTTATTTGGCTGTCCTATCTGAAAGTTTACGTATCTGAAAAATCTGGTTTAAGCAATGCTCTATAGCTTTCTCCATTGTGACAAGTCCGCTTGCTATACACGCAAACTCTGTATTTCCTTAAAACTGTCCGTCATCAAAACTCTGCTCTTCATCTTCAACATTAAGTATGCAAGAGCTAAGGACGAAAGCGTAGCATTGCCTGTTAAAAAGAGTATGCAAGAAAAAGTATTCTCTGTTAATCATTACCTGCCCAAGAAAAAAAATTCCTTGAACATATATAAATATATGATAAACATACATGTACAAAGGTACTACCAAGCAATCTTTTGAAGCACGTTACAGTGTTGTTAAAAGTGGGGGAAAACAGCTCTATGTTCCTCAGTAGTCTCACTCTCATCCTCATGTTCCGCATACTCTTCCTCAACGTCCTAATACTAATTCAAACCCCTTAGGCAATTTGTACCTGCAGTTGGGGACAAATAGACTAGAGCTCTTTCTTTCAGCAAGCACACTTCCTACTCCATTGGTACATGGTAAAGTTGTGCATAATTCAACTTAAACTTTTACATCTTTTCCACACCGTTCACACAAGTGGCATCTCCTCCATGAGCTTCACAGATAGTGTACTGCATATCAGAGGAGAACGTTACGTTATGATCAGAGGGTTGTCCAAGGGAGATGAGACCAGACTAGTAAACTTGACTTTTCCGAATATGAAATGTCTTCTTAGATCAGATTCCCCTAGAACTATGTTCCCTCTGTGGCGATCTAATGTAACAACGTAACTTGGAAATAGCTTCCTTGATAACGAAATATAAGACGCTCCCCAGCATGGCGTTCATGGGGAATTCACAACAAAGTGAATCACAATCTCAAAATTTCAGCCCAACAAGGTGTTGGAGCACAAGTTAGTATCTATAGTCAAATTATAAAAGATGTCTAATTTACAGCCTGGAAATTTGTTCCATGATGACGAAATATAAGACATTCCTCACGTGGCTCAGCATGGCGGCATTAATTCTGCCTTTAAGGTTATGTTGATTAATTGGATGCTGAATAATTGTTTTACTATCTCCAAGCTCGACCGAATGAAGTAATAACTCCCCTTTTTCTAATATTTCTTATAGGAGAATTTTTGAAACTCCATCACAAACCCGAATAAAATCCTTATCTGTTATCAATCTTTCGTACATGTCACGGCCCATTTCCCACCATAGGCCGTGATGACGCCAAATGCAGCCGTTAGGCAAGCCAACAATTAAATCAACACGCCGATATTTAGTTCATTTCGCATCTTAAAACAAACAATGAAATATATGAGCGAAATTTCTACGTTTTTATAAAATTTGTTTTGATATTATAGTAAATATTCAAACGTGGTCACAACATAAACCCGGATATCATAACAAAATACAACAAGAACAAGAATCTCTCTCTCTCTATATATATATAGAGAGAGAGAGAGAGACACACGCTGACTCCCGATCAAATATAACGCATGAGTCTACCGAGGCGAACGACCCGATTCAATAAGAGTAATGATATAATATCATGCCGTGGCGTACATGCCGATCACATAAGAGTAGTGTAAGCTCCCGAGGTTGCACGACCCGATCTATAGATGCATCTCATAATATTGCCGAGCGAACGACCCCATCCCATAAGAATTGTTACATGATATTGTCGAGGCAAACGACCCGATAATAGTAGTGAAGCTTGACGGGTCAATGACGCCACTCATGAATATACGTGTGAGTTATGGTTTTCAAGAAATTTTTGGATAAATACGCACAACGCGGGAGAAATTCGTAAAAGGAAGTATAATTTTCACGACTAATCAAGTAGCACGTCAAGTATCTAAAATAGCAAAGTTCGATACTCTATGCAAGTCCAGTCTCATGCAAAAATAATAATAAAGGCATTTCAACAGGCAAAAATAACTCAAATAGTACAATTAGAATATGGTGTGAGTCTAAGTCTATCCATACATAATCAAGAATCTAGCATACGCACGGAAACTCGTTACCTCATTCGTGCGTACCTCCTCTAACACGTAGCACGTAACAAAAAAATAGCACCTACGGGGTACATTCCCTCTTACAAGGTTAGACAAGAGACTTACCTCGCTCCGAAATCTGATAACCGACTCCAACACCTCTCTAACTCCTCAAACTCATGCCAAACGATCCGAAACTAGTCAAAGAATGTGCAAACCAATCAACTATACTCAAAGACTCGTAATTTTAATAATTAGAAGCAATTCTCAACTCCCCACAAAAAGTCAACAAAGTCAACCTCGGGCTGCCTAGGTTCCAAAAATTTACGAAGATAAATATTACCTATATCATCACAAACTCAAATATATAATTTATTCTATATTTTATGTCCAATTTCATGGTCAAAACTCAAAAATACCATTTCTAGGTTTTCTTTAAATTTTCTCCCAATTTCTACCAATTCCCATGTTTAAATCCATACATAATCCATGTATTGAGCTCACAATGAGTATGAATCACTTACCTAGTGATGGGCGATGAAAATTACAGTAACGACCCGACCAGTCGTTTTGCCTTCTAGATCCCCGTTCCCCTAATTAAGACTCCTCGTGTGCTTTTACAGTTTTATGAGTTGCGGGGATGGTGAGTTTGGGTTTGGAAGGGTTCAGGTTGAAATCGGAACACTTAATTCCTTAATAGTGGCTTAAAATGATTAAGTTTGACTTGAGTCAACGTTTTGAGTAAACAATCTCAGAACCGGGATTTGACTGTCCTAATAGGCTATGATGATTTTGGACTTGGGCGTATGTTCGGATGACCCGTGAGCGTTTCGGAACTTAATATTGAAAGTTGGCGCATTGAAGGTTTTCAAGTACTTTAAGTTTGGTTTGGAGTAGGTTTTGGTGTTACCGTGGTCCATTTGGAATTTCGAGCCTAGGAATAGTTCTGTATGGTGATTTAAGACTAATTTGGTGTCATTCCGAAAAGTCTAAGTATGTTTCGGCGCGTTCGGAACTAGTTGAGAATTTGAAGTTCATAAGTTGATTTCAATTTGATTTTGCGGTGCAATTCTTAGTCTCGTTATTGTTTTACGTGTTCTGAGAGTTCGAGCAGGTCCGTACTATGTTTATGGACTTGTGCGTGTATTGAGATGGGGTCCTGAGTGGCTCAGGTGTGTTTCGGATCGCCCGGAGCTAAGTTGGAAACAACAAAAATTATTGTTATGGTTTCCTTCTTCGTGAACGCGGAGCAGTAATCACATTCGTGATGAAGGAATGAGCCTGGGTGGGATTTTTTCCTCCGCATTCGCGAGAAGGAGACTGCATTCGCGGGGCTCTGGGCCACTGGCCTTCGCGTTCCCGCTCAGGCCTTCACGTTCGTGAAGTGAGAGGCCAACTGGGGAGGGGGTCAACTAATGGCCTTCGCATTCGTGTTGAGGCCATCGCGTTCGTGATGGGCAGGCCAGCTAAGCCTTCGCGTTCTCATGGCTTGTATCGCATTCACGAAGGGCATTTTTCTGGGCTTGGCTTTTTGACATTCGCGATCGTGGATGCCCTATCGCGATCGTAAATGAGGGACCACTGGGTAGAAAACATTTTAAAAACGGGACTTAGACCTATTTTCCCCATTTCTCACCTATGTAGTCCGATGGAGCTTCTTGGAGAGGGGTTTTCATTAAGCATAGGTTCAACCAAATATGAGTTAAATACATATATTATGGGTAGATTTTAACGGGTAAAATATGGAAATTTTGGGAGTTTATTGAAAAACCTAGGTTTCGATAAATATGGGATTTAACCATGAAAATGATTATGAAATTGGGTGGAAATTATATATGTGAGTTCGTGAGGTTATGGGTAACATTTACCTTCAAAAATTTCCGGAATCCGGGCACGTGGGTGAATATTAAGTATCTTTCAATTTGGGTTGGGTAATTACTCTAATAGCTAAATTATGAACTTGTGAGTGTATATTGATTAATTTATATAATATATAGCTAGCTCGGATTGTCCGGCACCATGTTGAGGTTTTAGAGTGAATTTGTGGGCCGGAAAGTGAGCTTCGAGACGAGGTAAGTCTCTTGCCTAACCTTGTAAGAGGGAATTTACCCCTTAGGTATTTTAAATTACTATTTGCTTCTAATTGTGGGGGTTATGTACGCACGAGGCGACGAGAGTCCGTGCGTAGCTACAAATCATACTTAAGCCCGGGTAGTTTTAGGACCCAATCATGAAATACTTGTATTGTTTGCACTCTACTTGTGAATTTAAGAGCTTAAATTTTATTGAAACTTGATAAAGGATTCGTAAAGGCTGAATTTGACTTACTTTGAGTTTTGGTGGGTTACTTGACCGTTAATAGAAATTGTGCTTCCTTGTGTATTAGTCTTGTGATAGCTTTTAAATCGGATGTTCGTAGAGTATCCTCTCTTCTTGTGGAGTAGGCCAAACGCCTCGGCAGTATAATATATGCATCTATGGTTCGTGCCGCTCGACCCTCGGTAGTGTACACATAATTCTGGATCGGGCCATACGACCTTGGCATAAATCGTGCGTGATAATGTTCGGAGCCCGATTACACTTGATATTATTTTATGACTTGAGAGGTTGTAATTTATTTATTGGCCTGAAATTATTGAAGTTAGTTTGTGTTAGTTGAAGATTTTTAAATTGACTATCAGTTAAAGAATCATTTATTTATTGCTTGCTATTGTGTCATTATTATTATTATTATTATTATTATTATTATTATTATTATTATTATTATTATTATTATTCACATATTTCATGCCTATTTAGAATTTCTGTATTTTATTTGTTGGACCATAGTAAGTGTCGATGTCGTACCTCGTCACTACTTCTTCGAGGTTAGATTAGATACTTACTGGGTACATGTTATTTATGTACTCACACTACACTTTTGCACTACCGGATACTTGTTGGGTACAAGTTGTTTATGTCCAGTATCTGAGGTAGGTGCATCTGGTGTTCATTCAGGCGCGCACTCCTGTTATCCTG